AAGAAAACTGTACGGCTCCGTCATTGCCGATAGACTATGAAAGGAGGAGCGCGACTCTGAAGATGCCGAGCGAGTGACAAAATATTCGTTGTAGTTAATCCTTTATCTCAGTTAATTTTGATTTTTCTATTGTTTTTGGGTATGGTAATGTATGCTAATGAGTTTAAAACAAAAGAAAAAAAATAAATAACTGAAATAAACCCCAACAACACGCAACAACTACGTAACTCTTGTGGAAAAGAGAGCTGCATGATTTGGAACAAAAGCTCCTGACGACGGTCGACCATCGCTCCAATGATGTATTGTTGCTCAGTCGGAATAATAGTTGCATTGTATCATGGGTGTACTTGTACTCAGTAAAAACAGGAATAGAGAAGATCGAAACGAAGGACTTCAGAACTGTGGAGTTGTGCTAGAACGTGTTTAACGCCTCCTTTCCACCATTTGTTTTAGATCAGTACTGGACCCTGAATGCGGACACAGGAGGGAACAACATTTCGCGGGAAGGTATAACCTAAAAATAGCCCAAATTGTAAATACGATGTTGCCCTAATCAATGGGAGTTGGAGGCTCTTAGGTTATAGGCTCCTGGCTAGTTGATGTAATAACAATTGCATCATATCAATGCAAGGCTTTGTTGGGGTTATTTTCTTTAAACAGCAAAAAAAACTTTTTGTTATCCAGCTCAGTTAGGAAACTGGGGATTGATGGTTTTATTTTTTCAGCTCTAAAGGACTCAGATAATCACTGGTCACCTCGACGCTACTCACTGAAGCTCATATATCGTTCGTATCTATGTATGTATGGTCATGTTCCTCTGCTGATGAGTACTTAGAACAGCTATTCAGGCTATTAAAAGGTCGGGCGAAGATTGTATGTTAAAGAACGTTTTCGTTCAGATAAGCTAACCTTATCTTATAAAAAAAATAACACTGAAATGCGCCTGAAAAAATATGGAGGCTTTCCATGCTTGAAGTAATGCGTAGAAATATGAAGTCAGAATTGAATACAAATCCAAAAAAAAATTAAGTATCGTGTTAAAAGGCCGTTATATCTAGGTCAGAACATCATCATTTGTGTTCTATGATGGGTACTAGGTTTTTAAAGAAAAACTTCATTTCACCTTTGTTTTGCTAAACGAGGGTGTTTGTTGTGCTAATCAGGGGCCTTTTTAAAGCAATTGTGAGGTACGAGTCTGAGTATTTATTTACAGCGAAACTGATTACATGCGAGAACTGAAAGCTCTATTATAGTAGAGTTCATGGTCAAATTCATTTGGCAGCACAACTTACCAATGGGGTTTCATGGCACTTTAAAAATGAGCCCTAGAGAGCTGGATTTTTGGTGCTTAAAGCTAGGGCAAAAACTATTTTATTGTTAAAAAATAAATCTTTAAATTTGATAAATCAGAACATTAAAAGGAAGAAAGGTATACCTTTTTTGACAGTTATTATTATTCATTCCGTTTCTGATTGGCTCCAGTTTCCCGGCTAATTGTTCACAACCAGCTGGCGCTTACCACATTGGGAAGATGCGAGTAATATACCATCGATTCTATGGTAATTTGATTTTTATTGAAAAAGAGACTGCTTGTACAACTGTGAACTGAAAAATGGCGTTCACAGCTATTTTAGGACAAAATGGCTGAATTTCTGACTTAATGTAAAAATACGCTAAACATATTGCTTGATGGATTTTATCTAATTTTTGTGGACTATTTACAAGATAAATCATCTGTTTTTATCCTAAAAATGTGCCGTGAAGAAAGTCTACAAGAAGGTAAGCATATGTTAAGAATTTAGAAATATTTTGAATGAATAATAAAATAATTATTGAATTCGGCTATTGTACGATGTGAAGAATTATGCAGATCTCAGAGGATATTATCCACCATGATCTGTACAGCTCCTTACATCCTACTCAGCCTCATTCAATAATTGTTAGGAGGCTGAAAATAAACAGCCAAGATGTCGCGCCTGGAAAAGAGGTTGATCGATGGCATATTTTTCTGAAAACGAATCGCGTCTAAAAAATATGGTAAGCGCCAGTTGGTTATGAAGAATTAGCCGAGGAATTGGAGCCATTAAGAAAAGGGGAAATATTTTGAGTGAATAATAATTTGGATAATGACATGGTTAACAAATTACTCGTTAATTTTGCAGCGAAATTTAAGCGTTAATTTATGATTTTACAAGTGAAATTACAAACTGAGATTGCTATTAACGTTCCGTATGTCTCAGAGCCAAGAAG